TTCCTTAGCAATAAGAGGGTCTCCCCAGGGTTTCCTCCAATGGTCAGAACGGTGGCCTAGAAATTTAATAAATAAATCAGCACAGATTAAAAACCACCCGTTCGTGCAAAGGAGTGCAAAAATTAGCCCCCCCGAAGGTGTGTAACTCCTCTGTTCTCATACCAAGGCTGTTTTTTGGGGGGGGAATGCAATAAAATAAAATCAACGGGAAAATATCCATTATCTGGATAATCTCCACATTTTCTCTTGTTTTTTTTCCGTGGCCTCGCAGAGGGCATTCAGTTCCAGCAGCTGTTGACTTCCTGAATGGCTTATCCATGCATCAAATTTTGGTAGCCATTGGTGAAACTTGGTAGCCAAGTTGGTTCCTCACCGCCAGGATCTCTTGGGTGTGTCACAACCCAAGCACTTTGAATTAGAAGGGATGGGTTAACGAGTACCTGTATGTCTGAGTGTGTACGTTTTACGAATTATTCATTGTGTGAACTCCAAAGGATGAATAAAAGCACCAGATGAAATTTTTGGATCCATCTTTATTGTCTCATGCAAGAAGGGTGGGGAGCGGTCCCTGTGGTCACATACATGGACCTGGTTCAGTTTACTGGGCAGCCCTCCTGGTTATTCGTCAGGGGTGTGTGTTTCATTGGCGGGCCAGTTATTGAAACACTTGGCAATAAAAATAGAGTGACGTTAATTCAATTTGATATCACCATCCTCACTAGCCAGTTACAGTTCTTCAAAGTTCTTCAGCAGAGGGCGGGACCTCCTGTTACTGTATTTTTCCCATGTATAAGATGCCCCCATGTATAAGACACCCCCCACTTTTCTAATCCAAAATTAAGAAAAATAAGTGGGGCTTAGCAAGTGTAGGGGGAAAGGGATCAAAGGGCTGCAGGATCGCTTCGATCCCTGCTTTCCCCTCCACTTGTGTTTGTTCTCTCCTCAGCTTACTTCCGTTTATAAGACGACCCTCAATTTTTAGTCTAAAGATTTTAGACAAAAGTATAGTCTTATATATGGAAAAATACGGTACTTGCTAGACTCTCTCCTCTGCCATCACAGAACTAACAGCTCCATCACAAACAGAGACAAGACTCATCAAATGCAATTTCTTTCTCTATTTTTTGAGATAAAGCTGCAAAGCTTGGCGTCCTTGTTGACAAGGGAGGATTGTCAGGTTGGCACCTCCTGATGTTCCAACTGGATCCGATGTTGGGAAGGCTGAAGCCATTCTGTACATATAGCCATACTTGGTGTCCTTGCTGACAAGTGAGGTGCTCTCTGGTGGACATGTGCCGGGGTGGCATTGGTGTACTGGCCCTTCTTAGCTTGTGCCTGGCACACCACTTGTTCTTTTAGAACCTTCTGCGCCAGCTGTTGGATTTGATTGCAAGTTTGGCTCTGGGCAAAGACGTCTCTCAGCAAGACCGAACTCCAGAAAGGAGGAGCTGGTCTTTTGTCAATTGAACGGCCCTCGATTGCCCAGCCAAGAGCAAATCATTCTCAATTTGAATTAGAGGGGACGGATTCTGTGTATCTATCTGTCTGCGTGTAGGTTTGATAGAGCTGGTGTCCCTTGTGTCACCTCAAAAAGATGAATGAAAACAGCAGGTCAGATTTGGGGTTCGTCTTTATTGTCTCATGCAGGAAGGGGGAGGGGAGCGAGCTGTTCCTTCTGTCACATACGTGGATCTGGTCCAGTGTGTTGGGCAGCCCTCCAAGTTATTGGCGATTAGGGCATGTATGCAAAATTGGTTGGAATAACTTGGTCAAGAGCAGAAAGAAAATTTTGAAAACTCAGTTGGCCATCCCCACCAATTGCTTGCTCTTCTTCAAACAGTTCATCATTGGCACGAAATAACTTTGTAATTTAAAGAGAACAAGAGAAAAATTAGTCACAGGGTTTCACAGGTGGACAGGCGCTGGACAGGTTGTAAAAGACACCTCTAAACCAAGAAGCCCTTCCAGTCCAGTGTGGATAATTTTGGGAGCTTTCCAAGCTGGGGAAGATCTAAGGCTTTTTCCTCCACCGCCTCTCATCTAGCTATCCTTTCCTTCACCAAAAATTCTGGATGATCCTTTTCTATCAGGGTAAAATATGTTGGGAAACACTGTGATGTTCCCCCTGCCCTGGGCCCATATTTGCCTGGACTACGAGAAAGCACCTCATTATGCCAGAAAGCCAGATTTAAGAAAGGAGAGGAATACAATATTTAGAATTTTTAGAATAGAATATTTAGAAATTTTAGAATATTTAGCACCATCAGGAAAGAAAATGTTGAACCATTACTAAAAAAGTTATAACTGGGAAATATTTATGCCTTCCTTCTTTATATCTGTGAAATTTTGGCAGGCGTTATACATTTATTCTAGCATCCTATTTATTCGATCCTACACAGGATGGGTTTCTAAGTTTCACCTCTACTTGAAGAAACCATGGCACTCCAAAACATTTCTAGGTTTTAAGCCAAGCCCATCTCCTGTCCACTGATGCTCCTGTCCTTGTGAAAAACGGAAGATCCAGTCCCAGGAACAAGCTTTTTCGTACGCTCTATTCCCATCCGTCTGCTCCTAGACTGACAGTGGAGACTGATGGACAATCCTGGAATTCTAGATTAGTTCTGTTTCCCCTTGGATTCAAGTCCACCCTCACCTTTCCTGGTGTACATTTCACACCTCTGACCACCTATCTAGAAAAACACACTACCGTTCCCTTACCTGGGACTCAGATGGAGTTAGGCTCATGTCCATTTCCAAGGTCGAAATGTTGGAGATCATGATGCCTCCTCCAATTTGAACACTCATTTTAAAGGACTGCTCCCATGGCTACTTGTCTTGTGGTCTTCTCAGATTCCTGGCTAACCTGGGAAGATAGTATCAATATTCTTTTTTTTTGAGACAACGCTCCAAAGTTCTCCAGTCTACTCCACCGAAAAGAAGAGACTCACTCTGGCTGCCAGGTGGTTCCTCTTGATGTCCCCAATGGATAGGATGCTGGGAAGGCTGAAGTCATCATGTTTATATAGCCATCCTTGACATCATGGCTGACAAGTAAGATCAAGGACAATACCTCTAGGGATCAGAATGTTCCAACCACAACACAGTAGACTCTGTCCGAGCTGTATTTCACCCTGGGGTTCAAGGACATGTACATGGTGACCAGCCAGGATATAATTTGATAGCTCCTAATGGTTATGCTCATAAACTTGGTGGTCACAGTGTGACCCTGTATAATTCTGGGAGATGAGCCTTGATGGACCCTTGAGGACCCAAGACTGGGCTACGGGACCCATCCTACTCCTCTGTGTGTCTTTCAACATGTGAATATAAGATGAACTGCGCTGAATGTCCCTGGAGTCAAAAATCTGATTGGCGCAAGATTCCTCCTGCCTTTCCTGGCTGCTATGGACTCTGAGATCATATAAATAAAGTACATGTTGCTCACAGTTCTTGCTCTTGATTCTATTATGAAAGTTCTGAAGAGGGAGAAAAACACCTCGGCATTGAAAGCTAATGGATGGGATTGTGGAGAATCGGCTTGCGTTATCTATATACAACTGGTGTAGGCCCAAGTGAAGGATGAAAGGAACTCTGGAATCCAGCCACATATTTGGAGGAGGGGGGAGTTATTTTTGCATTAAGGTGATATCTTTTAAAGGAGATATTTGGTGGGAAGGATTCAAAGTGTTAAACATCCCTCTCTCCCTCCTCCACTCTCCAACCAAGCTTTTTTAAAAAAATAGCGAAACTAAATAAAATGATTGGGGAAAATGTGGATGATTGGCATACCCTTCACATTTTCTCCTTCTTCTCTCCCTGGCATCTCAGGGAGCATCGGATTTCCAGCAGCCATTGACCGGCAGAATCGCTTATTCCATGCACCCACTCTTTCAAAGTAAAGTATGTTGGGAAGCATAGCGGTGTTACCCCTGCCATGAGTGCGTACAGTATTTGCCTGGACTGTGAGAATGTAGCCCAAACTCATTATGTCAGAAAGCCGGATTTAAGAAAGGAGAGAAATATTTAGAACCATCAGTAAAGAAAATTTAGCTCCACTAGTAGTTATAAGTGAGAGAACCTTCTGCTTTCCTCCTTCACAACTGTGGAATGCTGGCAGGTATTGAACAGGTTTTCTATCATCCTGTTTATCCTATCCTACAAAGGATGAGTTTCTAACTTTTATCAGGAGTTGGAGAAATCATGGCAATGGAAAACATTCCTTTCTGGTTTTTAAGCCAACCCGCCCACCCACCACCCACTCTTCTCTTGTGAGAAACTGAGGATCCACCGTGAGGAACATATCATGGGTAAAGAGGTCAGAGATTTCCCTAACAGTTTCCACCAAGACCAGCCCTTCCTCTCAGATGACTCTCCTAGCTGAGATCTCAGGGCATTTGAAATGTGCAAGAAATGGTGGACCATCTGTTTGTTTAAGCTTTGTGGCAAAGGAACAGCCAGAAGCAACACCATTGAGATCCCTTGCCCAGATCACAATTTGAATTAGAGGGGATGGATTCTGTGTATCTGTCTGTCTGTCTGCATGTAGGTTTGATAGAGCTGGTGTCCCTTGTGTCACCTCAAAAAGATAAATGAAAACAGCAGGTCAGATTTTGGGTCTTTCTTTATTGTCTCATGCAGGAAGGGGGAATGGGAGCGAGCTGTCCCTTCTGTGACATACATGGATCTCGTTCAGTTTATTGGGCAGCCCTCCTAGTTATTGGCGATTAGTCCATGTATGCAGGATTGATTATGACAAATTGGCCCAAAAAATCAATAAAATCTTCAAAATTCAGTTCTTTATCCCCACCAATCACTTGCTCTTCTTCAAACAGTTCACCAGCGGCACGAAATAGCTTTATAATTCAAAGAGAACAAGAGAAAAATTAGTCAAAGGGCTTCACTGGTGGGAAAAAAAATTGGTCCTAAC